GAGGGGGAAAAATGTAAACAAATAGCTCCTTATTAATATTTATTTCAAACCCCCTGCGGGTTAACCGAGAGGGCCCTGCACATTATCAGCAAGGGCCACGTTGCCATGAACGAGGTAGTAGTCATAGCCATGCTGAAAGTATGGCACGCCAAGTATATGTGCTGTTGATTCACTTTAAGGACCATGTTTCAGCAGTTATGGGACCACTGAGCACGCGAGTTTTAGGGCAATAGCAGGCCAACTCACCACGTGCAATTCAGGGCTTCCCTCCACTAAAAATGTGCAAAACTAGAATGAATCTTCTGCTAGAACATGGAACTGTACGCCGCCATATGTTTTGTCTTTTGTGCAAGTGGTGACTAGTGAAGCAAGGCCCTTAGGGCCACTTGTCGTAGGAAAAGGAAACAAAAGAAAGAGAGAAATGAATCTTCTGCTAGAACATGGAACACATATGCCGCATATGTTTTGTCTTTTGTGCTGGTGACGAGTGGAGCAAGGCCCTTAGGGCCACTGCTCGTAGGAAAAAGAAACGAAAGAAAGAGAGAGCTACAGTAGTAAGTAGGTGTAACTTGTAACCCATAACTGCTCGAAAGCAGACCAGACTTCGGATCCAGAGGATATATTGCTGGCCTGCTCTTCTTCTTTACGAAATTTGCTGAACATCTCTCGAGATGTTGGGCCCCTTGCATATGTACTGCTGGGGTCCTCCGCGAAAAAGACTATTCAACAAGGAATACGTGGGCCCTATTTTTTTTTTCTGTGGGGAGGTGCGCCATTGGCTACCGCAGCCACCCTTCTTCATTTTTTTTTTAATATCCTATTTAGTGGGGTGCGTCGCATCACGTGCACATGCATGCTTACACGTGCGTTATGCGCCGCACGTGCGGAGCTCGCGCGCACGCGATACGCCGCAGGTATGGGTTGGAGTATAGGCGGAGTATAGGGGTGATATAGGGGATATTGGGGGGGTTAATAAGGATGTTGGGGGCGGTTCGGGAGTGATAGGTTGGTGTACGCGGGTATTGGGGGGCCGCTATGGGGGTGGGGGGGGGGTTATTAGGGGTTCTGGATCCCAAAAAAAAAAAAAAAAAAAAGTGCGGGGTGCCGATGATCCCCGACTGCTAGGTGCCGACCAGCCAATCGGTCGGCGGGTCGGCGGCCGACCAGTCAAGGGCCGCCAACCGTCGGGGTGTACAACCCTGTTAACGACCTGATTGCTATGTAAGTACGAGAAAACGAAAAAAAAATTGCAACTTGCGATTTAATGATAACAGAGTACAGGTGTAGATAATCAATCAATCAATCAATCAATCAATCAATCAATCAATGGTGAGTCATCCAATGCTGGTCTGCTCCGATACCAAACTGTTGCATACTCGTGAAACACAGTCATAAGTATGGCGCAGATTCCCGGAACCGACCAGGTAATACAGAGTAAATACAAATACAGCGGAAGACTTGAGATACATGGACTGACTCTGACCTGACTCGGACTGCAATCGAACACTCTCAATCATTCATCAGGGGTGTGAAAGCCCTGGCCTTGGACGTAGACGAAAGGCCAGAGTCTGAGATCATCCACGGACGAATGGAGGGAGGAGAGAGACGAAGGGAGGAGGAGAGGGAAGATGACGTCAACTCGATGTTTCCAAAGATAGTATCTTGAAATGTCAGAGATGGCGAAAGTCTGAAATGTCGTGAATACAGTGTCCCACAATGTCTCAGATATCGATCTCACAATGTCAAGTACATCTCCGGAGGCAGATGAAATCAGATCCGACAAGTAGTCCTCAACCTATAGTCCCAATGTCGCTGTCTCCAATGTCATCAGACTTCGTAACCATCTTTCATAGTCCCGTAGGAGAACCCAGAAGTAGACTTAGACTGAGAAGGTAGGAAGAGAGAGAGAGAGAGAGAGAGAGAGAGAGAGAGAGAGAGAGAGAGAGAGAGAGGTGGAGGAAGACGAGGGAGAGAAGGCGAAGCCTTCCTCCCTGGTACCTGGCACGGTAGCTATGGCGCTGCAAGGAGGCTGGGCCGGTAATTGGCACTGCGCCCGATGCTGCGCTAATCCTCTCGCTGCTGAGCTCCTGCTCTCCTCACTGCTCCTCGCTATGCTGCAGCGCTGCGCTAATCGTACTAATGCTGAATGCTGCGCTAATCCTGAAGACTAACCTTCGGTCCATCTAACCTCCCTACCGAGGCTGGTACCCAGCCTTTTGTAGTGCTGGGCCGGCCTCCTACCTGCTGGTACCTACCGGCCTGGACCGTTGATCTCATCAACGGTCCAGTTTTAAGACTGGAACTTGGCGTCTAAACGCGGCAGCCTCTGCAGCGCCGCCGGTAGGTCCTATGCTGGACCGGTACCAGCCTTGTGGCCGTTGGCCTGGGCCTCTACCCCTGGCCTGCCTGAACCACCGTGGTCCTGGCCTATCTGGGCCTCATGTGAACCGTCGTCCCTTAGGCCTACCCTGCCTATTTGGAACCGGGCCCTAACTGGGGCCGGTGTGGCTTAGAATGCCACAATACAGCAGCGCAGCTCGGTTATGGCTGCCTGCACCTTCCAGCTCGCCCGTGAGCGCGTGAGCCTGCCCAGTGTTATCGCAGCAGCGCTTGAGCAGCATGCAGCCAGTGCCCGAATGTCCACTGCGTGGGTTGGCCCTTTCCTAAATGGAAGTGGCCAGCCTGCTTGCGTGCAGCCTGGCTGCGCTGAACCCATGCCCAGAAGCTTTCGATAGGCCCAGGGAGGCTGAGCCTCAGACCAAACGAATCAGGCCCAGGGCCACCGACAGTTACCCGTGCCCAACTGCCAGCTGTCTGAGTTGGGTCTATGCTGCGTATCTCGCCCAGGGCCTGACTTAGATACACTCGGTAAAGGAGGCCAGGGCCTGGGCGCGTTCAACCAACTGGCGCTGTGCAACTGCCTGAATTTTCCCCAGTTGCGAATTAGTCCAAAATAGGCCTCTTGTCGTCTGTTGAGCCTGCCTTCACTTAGGGCGGCCGACCTGTTGCAAATAGGGGCCCAGTAGGGCTTATCAAGGCCTTATGCCTCGCATACGTATTTTTAGGGGTACAAGTGGACCCGCTGCAGCTACGCGGCGAAGGACAATGACAAAAACATTTTGCGAAACACCCCAGCCATCAGTTGGACCCCATCTTTGCAATGTACCCCTACCAGACGCTGGCGAACTTTGGAAAACGCGCCGGCAGTTGCCAACTTTTCGTAGGTGCAGTTGCCAACTTTTCGTAGGTGCAATTGCAAAAGGCCAAGAGAGTTTGCACTCCCACCTGACAGGGGCATAACACAAACATGTCAGTCCAAAAGGCCATTCCACTGTGTCCATATCTCTCGGGGACATTTTGACATATATCTCAACCTATGGGGGTATTTGGAAAATAAGCCCCCCTCCGCCCCCCCCCAAAAAAAAAAAAAAAAAGGAGACACTCTCTCTCGCTCCCTCCCCAAAAAAAGGAGACATTTTTATTTTGTGTGTTTGTGTGTGTGTGCGTGTGTGTGCGTGTGTGTGTGTGTGTGTGTGAGAGAGAGAGAGAGAGAGAGCTAGAACATGGAAATATACACCACCACACTTGTTATTTTTTCTTCTTTTTTTTTGTGATGGAAATATACACCGCCACACCACCTCCTATTCCCCCCTCGCTCCCCGCCATTCAACCCACCCATGTCCCCAGACACCCTCCCTCCCGCGACTTCTTTCCACAGACTTCCCTCCGCCGACCTCCCTCCCCCGACTTCCCTCCCCTTCTCGACTTCCCTGCC